ACCCATAGAACGCACCTTACGTTTGCAATGGAATATCAACTCAGATACCTTTGAATTTAGTGTGGGAAACATTGATAAACCGGTCACCAGAAGAGGTATATTACCCGTATTGTCCTCTATTTTCGATCCACTTGGTCTAGTAGCGCCTTATTTGCTTCCTGCACGGAAACTATTTCGGGAGACTTGTAAAAGGGACTTACGGTGGGATGATCAACTGAGTGAAGGAATTGCTGAAAATCAGGAGAAGTGGGTCAGCAACCTACGATCATTAAGGCAGTATCCCATCGCACGTCCTCTGAGGCAATCGAGGGATTATAAGATTGTGGATTTTCATGTATTCTCTGATGCCTCTGAAGTTGGTTACGGAGCTGCTGTGTACGTTAGAACTGCCTTTGGAGATATTAAAGATGTTCGCCTTGTGATGGGGAAGTCTAGAGTTGCGCCCATAAAGGTTGTATCAATACCAAGGTTGGAGTTGACAGCAGCTTTGTTAGAAGTTCAGGTGTTTGCGACGGTGAGTACGGAACTGAACTGTCCCACTTGTCAAGTAACGTTTTGAACAGACTCCATGACAGTTATATATTACATACGCAATGATTCGGCTGGATATCATCGATTGTAGCTAATCGGGTGTCACGAATTCGCGAAGCTACTGGAGTTGAGCAGTGGAGATATGTACCATCTAAGGAAAATCCTGCTGATATAGCATCAAGAGGCGTGGCCGATATAAATGTGATTAAAAATAAGTGGTGGAGTGGTCCTGACTTCTCAAGACAAGCAGACTGCCTGTGGCCGAGTAAGAAGGAGGAACCACCGATATGTGAGGGGCCCCTAGAGTTAAGCGTAAATGCCAAAGTGACGTATACACAAACAAGGTATTCCCATTTACATCCACTGTTTAATTATTCCTCTTCGCACAAATTAGTGAAAGTCGTCGCGTGGTTGACCCGGTATGTTGCATATTTGAAGGTTATGTATCTACGACGAAATGATATCCAGACTATAGGACTTCTAACTGTTGAGGACATGAACAATGCTGAAACAGCCATTGTGAAGGTTATTCAATGGGAAGCATGGGGAGAAATCGGTAATGAGGTTAGTTATGACTTCGCGAACTTCAAAGTACGAATGGACAGGTTAAACCCAATAATCTTAGATGGCGTAGCTAGAGTCGGAGGACGCCCACAAATGCTGGAGGCCCCATATGAGACCCTCAATCCAACCTTATTGCCTAACGACCACCCAGTCACTACGCTTATAACAAGACATCACCACTAACTCGAGGGTCATCTGGGCACATCAAAAGTATTGTCGAGCATCCGACGAAAGTATTGGACAGTCAAAGGAGGTGCGGCAGTGCGGAAGCTAATTAATAAGTGCGTGACCTGCGAACGTCAGAACGCCAGTAAGGTTCAGCAGATGATGGCCCCACTTACAACGTGGCAGGTGTCTGAGGGTAATTATCCATTTGAGTATGTAGGGGTGGATTTGTTTGAACCGTTCATGGTGAGGAGAGGTAGAAGTTCGTGTAAGAGGTATGGTTGCTTGTTTACCTGTTTGAAAATGAGGGCCGGGCACATCGAAATGGTCCATACGTCAACTACTGATTCGTTTATTCTGGCACTGCTAAGATTCATAAGCCGTCGGGTTAACCAAAGATGATGTTCAGTGATAGAGGAACCAACTTCATGGGATGTCACACAGAGCTCAAAGGGCGCACTTGCGATCCCCGCAAGAGAGTTCATGAAGAGCTGTTGAAAAGAAACATAGAGTGGCACTTCAATCCACCACAAGCCAGTCACATGGGGGGGGGGCTTTGGGAGAGGCTTGTCGGAATTATTAAACGTGTTCTAAGTTCTATCGTTAAAAACCAAAGCTTGACTGATGAGACCCCAGAGACGTTTTTATCTGAAGCCGAGAGAATTCTGAACGACCGACCGCTTTCACCGGTTAGAGATGATGTGAAGCATTTCGACGTGTTAACTCCAAATAAACTGCTGTTATTGTGAAGTAATCCCGGTTTAGAAGGAGGGTGTACAGAGCCGAGACCCATGGTCAGAAGATGGAGACAAGCTAAGCATCTGAAGGATATGTTCTGGAAGAGATGGTTTGAAGAGTATATACTCACACTCCATTCAAGAGATAAATGGAAGAAGACATCGAAATTTGCAAGTTGGTGTTGTGGTTTTAGTTTCGGATAAGACTTCTACAGGTAAATGGCCTCTAGGAGTAATAGAAGGAGTAATATGCAGTAGTGATGGGTTGGTGAGGACAGTGGAAGTGAGGACAAAATACGGCACGCTGACGCGAGATATTCGAAAATTATGCTTGCTTGAAGTGTTAGAGAACAGATCAGAGATTGGGCAATCCAACGATTTTCCAACTTCGGGAGTCAACCTGAGAAGGGTTTTAGGCGTACAGCTGTAAGTCCTACAATTCTTCAAGGGTAGTACGTAGAAGCGCAGTCCATAGTACTTGGTGTATTATTTTGTACATATGTTCATGTTGTATATACTGAATTGATATCATCCCTGTTCTATCTGTTGATTAATTTTGTTTGTGTCCGGACGTCTTCCACTTGGATCGTCAACCTGAGAAGGAATGTAGGCGTACTGCTGTAAGTCCCACAGTTCTTCAAGGGTAGCTCGTCAAGGCAGAATCCACAACATTTGATATATTGATTGTACATATGTTTGTGTTGATTAATTCAGTGGGTTCCGGTTCATCTGATTGTCGGTTAATTTGATAGTTGTCGCATTGTGTGAATCATCTTGTAATGTTTTTGTAAGTACTTCTGAAGTCGCTTCTAAACTTGTGACCGAATCGAGTGGTGTTAGAGTCAGCGTACGCGACTGGATACGCCGGGGAGAGGATTGTGCTAGAGTGGTATGAAGCAACCAATAATTCGTGAGCCAGATCAGTGGTGGTACTGTCGATAGAGAGCGTAGAACCCACGCGCCGGGGAGAGCGTGTCGGTGTGATGTGGTATGCTTGTTGTGTGTTGGGCTTTTTGTCTTGCTTTTCCATTTTAGCATAGTCCCGATTGGCCCAGGTACCCACATCGGCAGTTCAGTTCAAGGTTATTGCCGCTGTGGAAAAAAGGGATGGATCTTTATTTTACCGGGGAGTGTTAATGGACATGAACATTGAACGTCTGTTTATTGAAACTGGCAGCCATTGGTGGGCAACTCGAAGGCGCGAATGGTACGATCGCGTGCAAGTTTGAAGACGGCAGAAGAACACGAATAAAAGTACTTTATAACTTCATTTGTACTAAACTTTTGTTTGTAGACTTTGTAGTTGTCTTCGCTTTAATTGCCAACAATATAACTTTCTTCTTACAACCACTGGTGTTTTGGATTTAAAGTCGAAACAAGTATATAGTCATTATCGGTTCAAAGCGTCTTCGTTACAATAGGAACTTAGGGCTAAGTTCCTTGAATGGTGTGTCCAACCTAAAGTAAACTCGCAAAAGCCACTAAAGGGTCCACGAAATGGCTATGAAATTCCCAGAAGAACACGTCGTTTTATATATACGTTCTGAAATTGGACACTACTACAGACTCCAATTCAATGGCAATTCGTTTAACAGATATACTGCACGCAGTGAAACTGTATTATTTACTGGATGATCACGTTTTGAAGATAGAGTTTTGTTCATAATCATATCATATGCTATCAAACAACTTCAAAATTCAGTTTTTTTTATTGTTAACCTCCATTCCTATTTTTCGTTAGGGTCCTAGAATTACCCAGATGTCTGAGACATGTGCTGCAGCATTTATCTTGTGGTGAGAGCTATCTGCTAGCCAAATCGGTAGACAGTAAGTTACGTCAATGTTTACGTCCCAAATATTGGTCATGAGAAAAAACAAGGACAAAGACTAACTCAACAACCAATCACAGCAGACTTAGCGTGGGTGGATACGATTAGCATATATATATATATATATATATCAGTGGACTGTCTAAGAAACGGCAACAAAGGGATAACAGAGCAACCTTCAGCAAGAAAACAACCAATCAGGAGACGTTACCTCTCTGCTAACAGTAACGAATAATAGTGTATATAAAAATTTATAAATATCTGTTGATTTTCCAAATAAATGATCTCTTGCCTGGTCCTTGTCTTCTGTCGTTACACTATTACATGTTTTCTCAGTTGATTTGCTTCAATAAGGATTCAATTATGAATTTCTCTTTCGAATTCACTATATTAGATTTTAAGAGTTATTAAATTAGCTGTCTGTAACTGCATTTAGTGATATAGCTGGGGTTTATTACTAACTTTACGACTAGCAGAGTAAAAGAAAGAGAAAAGTTGTATAATTTTGCAAATGACATAATTACGAACATTAAGTTATGTATTCGAAACGTCATCATTCACTGAATAATACTCATTCATTGTGTGATATATTCAATGAAAGTATTTCTAGTGAATTGCACTCTCAACCAACCATCCATTTTGAAGTCTACGATCCAGTAGAAGCAATAAACTGTTTAACCACCTGACAGCATGATTATGCCAGTCTGAGTCATATATATATATTTATTAAGAAGTCGTTGTTGTGCTGCTATATTTTGATTAAACTAGCGTATACGTATATCCTAAGACTTCTCGTTTATAATTGTGTCCTAACGTTGTGCTTACTCGACACACACAACGTAAATCAGAAGACACTTGAGAAGGTGTAGGAATGTGTATTCTCACCGTAATCAAAATTCAAAATTTGAGCGAGTACAAATGTATCAATTGTTAACACGCAAGATTTAGAGTAATAAACAAATCGAAGTACAATTACACAATGAAAGTATAGTACGATGATGAGTAATAAAATGGGTCACTACATCGTGACGCTGAATCGATGCAAAGTTCCCTAGCATCTCTGACTTCATGACAAATTCTTCACTGATTATAATTCTACATTATTCTTTTATGCAATACAAAAAAACACAAAACATATTTATAAACTTATTTATTATTTTAACAGAAATGATTACCGAAATACTGAGAATACAATTTCCGTACAGCTGTTATGCAGTTTTAGATTATCATACCTCAGTTTGAAAGGAAAATACACCCAAAGTTGAATTATTAAACAATACGTAAGAGACAGAAAGTAAGATACGTAGGTTCCGATTCCGTTGAAATAAACAATTGACGTGACTGCTTGGTGAACTTGTGAAGGAAGTAATTATTCCACTCCAAATATACACTATATATGTATATATATATATAGTGTATGTTTATTTGCTGACGCATATTAAATGCTGTTTTTTGATCTGCGATAACCTTCAATCCGATTTGATCTCAATCTCTCTCGAGTATTTTTAACCTGAAATTACGAAGAGAAAGAATAATGATGTGAGGAATTTAATCTGAAATAAACTTTTTGAACTAAACATTGAAGCTTCTCTAGGCTAAATTTGTTCAGCTAGAAAAATTTTGATAACTGTGACAAAATGTATTATAGAATATACATTTTTACTCAATGTTCAATTGTTGCGGATTTTGAAATGTTAATCCACTTAGAACTACTTGAAATGATATTTTTCATTTAGTTTTTACTAATCTTTTAGGATATATAAACAATAAACAGGATAAACTAGACGCATATTACGTTCTCATGCGTATTCGCCAACAACACACCTTGATTTGGAGCATACTGTATCAGAATAATTGTATAGTAAAATCTCTCTTGGATAAGCCACTTACAATATTGATGTTTATTTGGATTTTTCCACTAAGTTTATAATTATTATTCGTTTATCCCCTAGGTTGTATATCATTGTCACGATATTGGTATTTCATTTATCGACTTAGTGCTTCTTATATATCCTTTTGTTTCTTTAATCTCTAATTTCAAGGCTTGTCCTCTTGGTTGTTGTATGCAATTGATCATGTGTTATTCTGATCTTGGAATGTCTGTGGGAATTGTTTAGTGTGTGTATGCCTGTGTGTGTGTGGTATTCTTACTGAGAGAGTTTTGATCCCACCTTGTTGGGAATATTCTTCTTGATTCTCTAGCAGTTCCTACGACTGATTTCGGTTGAGTAATTTTGTAATACAGTAATTCTTTCGTACCTGAAAATCAGTTTAATCTTTGTTTCGATCACCTCGATCTGGGTGACTAGTAAGCACTCCTGGTTAGCGTGAGTACTATCCAACTAATTATATAAGTCATTCAGTAACATATACAGTCAAGCATTTGAAATTTCATAAAATCATCACATATTACTTACTGAACAAATTTCTATATAAGGAGGGCATTCAATCCAATCGTTACTTGTACTATCTTTGGCTACTTCTACTTTACCACCTTCTTGTGGACAAGTGTACCATTCACCACGAAATTGTACAGAGAGTTGAAATGATAATGTGCATTTTATCTAAATGGAAAATTTAAAACACATTATCAAATTTTCAACAGTTATAAAAATGCGACCAAGGTTTTATGCTAATCTGAGTTGTATCTTCGTTTTAAAGAAGAACCATAGGTACAGAGAAACACTTGTAATAGCTTCCCCCCTTGATAAACCTAAGTGGGACATACTCTACATTAGAATGATGAGCTATTCAGAGTTCTTGAAACTACCTATCGAGACATTAGGTAGAAAAAATAAGAAGTTCAGCGTTTTGCATTCACTTCGACAAGTTTGACGGTGTAACACAGAAACCTATTGACTCCCTCTATTGCTGAGTGGTTCTTCTGTAGCTTGTACTATTGACAAACATTTGTGAGCGGTATGTCACTGACTTTCTCTTAAAAGAATCTTGAATAGCAGAGTGAGAAGAGGAGAACTGAAGATGATTGTGAGAGAGTATAGACAGCATGAAATGAAAACGAAAGGAACGGAATGCGAATTGAAATTCCTATTGAAGGTTTCTTATATTTTGCCGCTGGTGTAGCATCATTTCACTAAATAAACCATCTCCAACCAAATACCAATGAGTTCTGCATTAGCGCCTGCCACTAATCAAAATATGGAAAACACCCATCATACTATTGAAGAGAGAAAAAACAAGTTTGAGTGAACGACCTGTTTCGGATTAGATGTGATTTCGGTAGGCTAACAGAGACAGCAGGTTGGATAAATCAGTTGAAAAAAAAAACACCACAGTGAATCCTAAACATCCTTAGGAAAATGTCATGCACAAAATTCGTCGTTAATGTGAAAGGGAACTTTTTCCATTGAAAAACAAACAAACAAAATGGCATGATAGTATTTTACATACGCATATATCACAAGAAAGTTACCTTATAACAGCCTGCTATAACCGAATGGCGCTGTCTTTCATCGTAGTAAGATGTGCCATAGCGGAAACAACGAGAAGCTTTCCCATAATACTGGAGGTTTCGAACATCATTAACATCTAAAGTTTAAGTATAATTAAGATTTCACTGAATTGAATATTGAATAATATAAAAGACTGAATAATGAACAACGAATATTCTTTTAGATAAACAAATTCATCATCAACAAGTCCTACATTTACATGACAGTAACAGTTGGAGACATATTCTTACTAACAAAAATAATGCTGTTTCAAATTACATTGAGTTAATAGTGTAATAACAAAAGACAAGGGCCAGGCAACAGATCGTTTATTAAGGAAATCAACAGATATTTATACATTTTTATGTACATTATTATAGATTATTGTTAGTAGACAAACATACTCTTCTGATTGGTTGTTTCTCACTGAAAGTTAATCTTTCATCTCTGTGTGGCTGTTTCTTGAATGTCAGATCATCTATGTGCTAATTGTATCCGCCTATGCAAAGTCTGCTGTGATTGGTCTTTGATCTTGTTTCCACATGACCAATATTTAGGACGTAAACATTGACGAATATGGCTAGCAGACAGCTCTCACCACAATAGTATCTACAGTCTACTTTTTGAAAGCATCAGTGAGAAGGAGAGAGGGAGAGAAAGACAAGCAATGTGCATTGTAGTACCACTATACTGACTGAATATCAGAAACATTGAGAGGAGTAAGGCAGAATTTTTGAATTCATAGGTTGGAGAGCAGGTCAGGGTAGCAGTAGTATTGGCTGGACCTATTTATTTAACATGCACAGCTCCGGTTTTATTAGACAAATTGTGATGGTCTCTTCTGTTTGCAGTGTTCATTGTCTAGAGGCCTTTGGTAATTTGCTGGATACCCGATAGATAACAGAGAAAGATCCTTCAGTGTGACTAGCTTCATGACCTGTTTGAACGAGGTGTTGATGTTTTTAACAACGCCTTTATTGAATGACACTGGTAGGTGTGGTGTGTTTACGAGCACGAAAATGAGTTTACTGGAGTAATGGTCAATGTAACTATCTCCACATGAGTGGTGAAATATATATATATATATTTATTTATGTAAGTGACATCACATTAAATTGTACTGTTATTACAACAATAGTCCGTTACCCCAAGTTAGACTTATTCCCTCCACCCGCCAAAACAATTAGCCGAAATTATATGATTAATTACTTCAGTTTCGTAGTATGTTGCCGCCTTCTGAGGATCTAATAATCTACTTAAGTGTTCTTTGGATTTATACAAAGGATGGAGGATTGTTTTTTTTGCATTTATGTCAGAAACTTATAAAGACTAGTAAAACTGACATTTCGTGATGTGATGGTGTTCTCAGTCCACCTGAGATGGTAAAATTAATAGAATGCTGATATATCAACTTCATTAAACATCACATGGAGTCTGTTTCGTCCTGTTTTGTGAATTTTTTACTAAAGCACAATCATTATTATTGCTTCTGTAAAGGCGCAGATGTAGATATACTACCCGAAAGAGATGAGTTTCTAACTAGACTGTCTTACATACTTTCTTCAGTCGTCAGACTGTGTCTTATATACTGAACTAAATGCTAGATGAATTATTGTATTGCAGCCAGATTGAAGGCATCGGCTTTTAGATCATCCTACATCCGACGATCGGATAACCAGATCTCGAGAATTTAGTCTTTTTTCCTAAAAGAATGATATAAAGTATTTGAATAAAGCAATATGAGGGCGTAATTAGTCTGAATCGTGTAATGTATATGCGCAACACATTTCGGACAACCTGATCACACACGGACTTGTTGACATCTTGTGTGCGTCGGTCGCACAGTGGTTAGGACTCTCGCCGACCATGTACATGGCCCGGAGTTCGATCCCCTGCCGACGCACACCCGATATCTATGGTCGGCCTGCAAAATTTGGGCTACCGATATCCATGCTGAAAATGCAATACTTGTACTGAAAATACGGTGTGGCATCAAGCTGTAATCACAAAAAATACGCAAAAAGAAGTTTTCTGTAATAAACTAGAAATTCATTAGTCTTATAAAGAAACTACTGAAATCGTACTTTTTCGCTCATTCAAACATATCTCAGAGAAGCAGATTTTTTCTTCACAATCTTTTCATTCGTATGGGGACAGTGTTAGAGGATTAAAATTATAACCAGTTTACACTACTGTATGTTGTAACCGAAAGATCCTTCACTATCCATGGGTCCAAATACTTCAGAATCCTACGTTAGTAAAAGAAAGGTTTTTCCAGTTTCCTTTGGCTTCCTTCAACAACAGAAGAATTTTATTGAGTAAAACACACAGTGATGCAGTATTATTTATTTACTGATACACAATGTAGTGCTCATAATCATGTGGAGATGGTCACATAACTGAAAAACTTGGGTTAGACATGTTTCCACTATTTCTTGTCCTTTGCTTTCATTGATAGTAATCTTTTCGAGGCTTTTTAGTATCAGCGTTGTGTCTTTCTTTGGCTTTAAGATAGTTACTTCCAGATCAATGAGGCTTTCACAGAACCGAAAACAGAGATTTCATCTCTTTCAGAATTGATTTCATATATATATATATATTCCATCGTTTCAACTACAGGTGGAACTGACGAGGATATCAAAGCAAGAATCGGTAAAGCAAGACAAGCTTTCACTACTCTCAAGTCTGTGTGGAGGTCAACAGCACTCAGCATGAAAAATAAAATCTGGATTTTCAACTCCAATGTGAAGTCAGTGTTACTATACGGATGGATCAGAGACTTGCACTGCGCGTCATAAAGAGCATCTCAAACAAACTACAGACCTTCATTAACAGCCAGTTGTCTTCGCTCAATACTCAAGATCAGATGGCCGGCCAGAAAAGATCAGCAACAGAGATCTCTGGCAATGAGCGAACCAACCAGGAACCGATTGTCAAACAAATAGGCAGGAAGAAATGGAGATGGATTGGCCATATTCTGAGGAAACCATCAAGTGACATCACTAGACAAGCCATTGCTCGAGTAGAACCCAAACGGGAAGCGGCGAGTTGGTCGTCAGTGCAAGGGTGACTTGGATGAGGTCATGTGAAGAGGAGATGAAAGCGTGTGGACAGACTTGGAGCCAGGTGAAGACTCTAGCAGAGAACCGAACGCAATGGAGACGCACGGCTGAATCCCTATGTTCCTCTAGGAATTAAAGGAAACAATAATAATAATATATGTATATATATACAGAGAAAGAAAGAGAGGGACAAGAGTCGGATTTTGATTCCGATGGATTTTATCATGAAGTATCTACAACAGTGAAATTAACTTCAGAGCAAATAGTTTTTATTTTTAACCAGGTGACTGTAAATGCAATTGTCTTCGGAGAACTAATCTCAGTAACTAAATATCTATTCAATTCAGACCTACACAAACACACACACACACACGCAAATACCTCTACAAATATCTTTCAAATTCTAAAAGCTTACTTTCATATTTTCGATTGTTGATATCACCGCAATGAGAATTCTTCTGTAGACCGTTAACATGAGTGAGTGGCTTGAAAAGTAGACAAGAGAATAGACAATTAACTTGGTAATAACTAAAACCTGTCAATTTATACATGTGAATTTTAACTAATTTTAATGTAAAAAAAGAAAACTGCATGCAGATTAAGAAACTCTGAGCATGAATAAAAAATTGTCGGCCTTTTCTTGGACTTCTTAGTCTACACAGACTAATTTATTGAATCTATCGAAATAAGATGGAATATCTCTATTATTTTTGAAGTACTCAAAGTGATTCCACTAGTATGCTTAAATGTACTTACTAACCTTACCTCTGCATGTGAAATGTTTGTTTGCGTCTTACGTATATATCCAGTTTCATGAAATAATACTAATAATAATAGAGCACAGGGTATATTATTTTGGCGGACTTAGTCAGTGTCAAGATAGAGCCAGTCTGAGCAATACTGATAGACATCTTTAGATGCGTGCAGTTTGTCAGCTGAAATGATTAAAGTCACATCATCAAGAAATCAGATTTTGATGTGAATTTCTTCTGCTTATGTTTGAAAATGTTTATATTACCCTAGGATACTCTACTCGTCACTCGATTCTTTCTTATTCGAGTTCCACTGGAAAATATGGCGCGTGTGGTGTCACTCGACTGTCTCGTCAATGTGTGTCTGATCCACCCCAGTTTCTTTCTGCGTATTTGTTCGGCAGCCGTCGTTGTTGACTGCCTGCTGGAATCCCTCGTTGGTTGGTTATCCTCTCAAGGCCATTTGACCTTCAGTATCGACGATGTATAGCTCATGAAGAAATTTTGAAGCGAATTTCCCTGACCATATGGTGTTAATAACCGGTATCTGTTAGATAAGCTGAGTGCTGTTACTCTTCTCACTGACATCATTTTAGTGAATAACTCTTGTTTTTCCTATCTGTGGTTGTCTAGTTTTGCCATCCCCTCATCTGTATGGCCTGTTGCTGAAATGGTGTTTCTTGAGTGGGTAAGTGGAAGAAGTGACTCCCTTGAGATTTCTTGTGTTGATATTGATTGTTGTTATTGATTGAGGAGTATCTTTAGCACGTCTATCACCTCTGTGTTCGTTCGGAGTCGTCTCTTCACTGACTCTTACGTAAATCCATTGGTTTTCATTTGTAGTTATTCGAGTCTACGCGATAGGCGACATAAGTTATCTACAAAATTCACTTCTTCTTCTAGGGCCGTTTCTACAGGTCCAACTCATGCCCATCTTCTCACTCTCTACGGCTTGTTACATGATCCTTCAGTTCACCAAAGTCGGTGGGATAATCGGTACTACAGTTAAATACTGATAGTCAGGAATAGAAGTTGATTAACGGATCTTGTTTTAGTATAGGATATACTAACGGTGCATGCAAAACTAGTCAAACACTGCGATTTCTGGAATCATGTAGAATCATGAAGAAATCAAGCGATCGAAATTTTCCAACCACTTTCATAGAGTTCCTAAGAAGTAATACAATGTATTCAGAATTTTATCCAACTGTATCGCTGTCTTTATTCAACCCGAATCAACATTTCTATCATCACAAAAATTAAATGATACTACCCCCGAATGTTGGATTTTCGGGGATTTATGAAAAATTTTAAGTAACCCTTTGTCTTCACAAATCGATGTCGGTAAGAAAACCAAAAAGATAATAGGACAGTTGTCTCATTCTACACTGGGAACACTTCAACTTCTCTTTCAGGATTTCCAATCTGTTGTGAATCATTTCAAGATTCCACCGGAAATTAAAACTATTTTTGTGTACATATATCATTTTTTTGTTTTAATGGCTTTAAATATCAACTTACTGTTAAAAATGGACAGCGGTCAGCTAATGTATCGAGTCCGCCGAATGTCAATTGTTGGTCACTAAATGAATTATGCGGCTGGTTAAAGTGAATATGATGTGATTTTAGCTTTCCTTGAAATTTAACCATATTACATGTTCCATAGGCATTTGTATACGGTAGACAACGGTCACCGTAGCCCAAGAAATGATCACACCATGGAGAAATGGATTGATTACTGTTGGTAAATGAAAGTAATAGTAAAGGATTAGGTAAAATCCACACCGAAATACTGCAGAGTAAATATATATATATACATATGTATCAATACATAAATTTGGGGATCAAATGGTAAGTAAACTGTAGGACGTTTCCTTCTCCCCATGGGTTTCCCTTGAATAACATTCTCTTGATAGGATGGCAGACAGTCAGGTGCAGATCGTAAACGGGAATGCAGAAATGACCTATTTCCAGTTATATTCTATAACAAAGAAACGTTAGTGAGAGAATCACTGAAAACTAGCGGGAAGTGAGTAGTCTGACCATTCTAACCAGTAGTGCGCACCCTGCCACGCATCACATCAACTACGTCATCATCTACGCTGTACATCCGTATATTTATATTACGTGAATGAAAGAGTTCCTTTGGTAAGCTGTCGCATTGGGCCACCTCAGCATGCAGATACAAGTTCACTTGCTGGTGTGGAGCTGAGGACATTGGACGTACCATGCGTCCGCATGTAAAACGCACGCGGGAACACTATCCAGCATGGCTAGCAAAGGGGTACACAGTTCGACAAACGAAGATCTGGTGAAATCTGGACATCCATCCCCATTTGAAAAGTCCTTGAAAGCCATATATAAGATCCAATCCAAATTACCAAAGGGAGTAAAATCAAGACATCTAGGAATAGCTGAGGCGCTGGCGATCCAATAACTCAAGCCTCTTCTATGTGTCCAAAAGAAATGGGTCCAACCGTTTTCCCTACCGTGGCCCTCATGAAAAGTCAGTCTCACCCATAATGATTATCCTATTACCTTTCTTGTCCAACCTTCCCGTTTATTTGTTATATTAACCTTTCAAATCCCTATCTGCATTAATAGATCTGGTTACTGTTTTTATTTTTATATGTCCGAACCTCCAACCCATTTCGTGAATACTACATCCTTAACCCGTAATTATATAAACTAACTAGTTTTATAGTAATTGTAATCCTACTCTGTCATTTCTACCCGATATTCCTGATTATTTCACAGTGTAATTTTTAACTTGATCGCTGACCTGAAATATTTCTAGAATAGTGCCACTAACCATCTTCTCTTTATTACACTTAGTAATCTTATTAGTCTGACCTCTGACCGGAAACAATTCTGGAACTGTCTCACACACGTAATATAAATATACGGATGTACAGCGTAGTTGATGACTTCGTTGAAAAGAAAGTTTTCTTCACTGCAGCAGTCCTCTTAATAATTCGTTTCAAGAAACGGTTTGTATTCAACCTAATGTTAAGATGCAGAAAACTGGAATAAAAGGGTTGTTGTGTTTATCAATCTTACCTCATTTTGCGCTTCTGCATATAGCTGTGACAACTTTGAAGTACAAAATCACAACCCAGATTCTGACCCCACTTCCATGGTTCAGCCATGGAAAGGTCCACATGGTACCAACTGAAACAAGAGTGGAAATACAATTGTCAAGAAGATCAAATAATATGATTCTCATAATGTAGATACACTGTTTAGTTTTTCAAATGTTACATTAGTACCATTAATGCGATATGAGAGGAAGAAGTCCCTTGAGTTCCGAGTGGAACACTCGAATTCAGAAGAACATCGCCACATTCTCCTCCCCTCTACACTCCCCTTCAGATGGCTACACAATTACTCATTAGCCCTCATATCCTCATCCTCCTCCCCATCCTCACACAATCTCTCTCATTTCACCATCGTACCCACAAACACACGACCCGTCCTTTCCTATTCAAGTTACACTCGACTTATGGCGTGGTGTGTCGTGTCATTCAACCGTCTTCTCAGACTCTGTCCAATCCATCTTCATTTTCGTCGATATACTTGTTGAACTGTAGGTTCTTGTTTGGCTCATTGATCAACACATTTCTTCGTTGACATTTGTCTCCACCTGACCATGTCATCTTCAGTATGGAGCCAGTGAAGGCGGACTGGCTGTTGATGACAGTCTTCGTCTGCTAGTTGGAAACAGCTTCTGGCTACACGCTGAGTCTCTGATCCATATCAAACAACTGACTGACTAAACACTGATGTTGAAAATCTGAATTTCGGTGTATCTGGTGACTGGATGCAGACGATTTCCAAATTGATTTCAGAGTGATGGAGGTCCGACTGGCTATTCCAACTTCTGTATATTCGTGATATATAGCCACTGTGAACTAATTCCATCGGCCAGCATCCGCTTCACACCCAACATTCATCTATTGAGCTAGTTAGTTAGTTAGTTGGTTAGTTAATTAACTGACTTACTCACCCAGTCATTTACGCAATCACTTTATCAATTAGTGGATGAACGAATCAGTGTCTGTGACTGTTTTTCAGTTCGTCTTTTACACACATTTTCAGCAGTGATGACGTCTCTTATCTTCGGAAATTTCCTTTCAATCCTCTTGTCAATAAATCTCGTTGGATATCTGTTTTGAATGAAGATTTACTTTGAGAAGTATAATTCTTCTTCATGAGCATTAGAAATGCTAATACGTCAGACGGACGCTAGTATTGAAAGGTATGCTCACATTTTTTTTACGTCCAATCAGTATCTAGCTGTAGAAACCTGTCAGTTAGTCGTTCTATGTGGGTTTCCTATGGATGGACTTTCTTGAGATTCTGTTGGCTTTTCTTTTTTCGAAAAAGTTCAACATCAACAAAAGGGTATTTAGATTGATTTTCTATTTCAAGAGGGAACTTAGTTATTAGATGGAAGTTGTTAAAATATCTGTAACACGTAATTAAGATCATTACTGTCATCACGGATAATCGAAGTTTTATCCACATATCTATAATACAACTGAAAATTATCAGTAGTTGACTTATGCAGATTCGGGGTTGATCTCATTGCAATGCAATCCTTTGTCTTCAGATGATATCATTGAAAAAGAATTGCACACTAGGTATGCATCTCGTTAGTAGTTACTTTAATCAAGCTGCGGGTAATCCAGTGTTTAACTGCTTTTTGTGTCTATATATCAACAAATACAACAGACAGTTCTCATGAGTGGAACGTTTGCAAACAGTGACTCATTGTCAAAATAGAGAGAGCACATTTTCGTTTGAATGCGATGATCTCTTGTATGTAGTCAAAGCATTGAAGGGTAACATGAAGCGAATGTAAGTAAGTAGATCTGTTTCAGTACAGTTTCTGAAATATCGGCCAGCTTTTGTCTCGATTGAATGGTATGGGGAACCAAGAATGTCTAGGGTTGGCCCCTGTAGCAGGCCACCTTAGTGTATCTTTGGTGAGCCATATAGTCTTGGTATTATTATTGACCGTGTTGGTCGCATCTGATCGTAAATTTCATGTTTGATTAACTGCTTGGTTTTTATTATTTTGCGAACATCAGTGGGTTGTTTCTCAATGTGTTCTGTTTTGTTTCCTTTGTTAGGCAGTTGAGAGAACTCCCTTTTATAACGACAGTGTGTCGTTAATTTCCTCTGAATAATCTTTTCCATCAGTAGATAGACTACATCCATCGGCTTATCCCAATGGATTACTATTATTAATAATTCTTTGTTATGTGTTTCAGCTGATTTAATTATTCTCCGTGCTGTTTTCGTTAGGTGGTTGTAGAATTTTGGTTTCTTATTCAGATATTTATGACAACAATCGATTTTGAACACTCTATGAATGGATAGATTGATAGATCTCATAGGAGAAATGGAGTCTTATATAAAATCTCAATACTTTTTAACGTATACTAATGAATTTAAAAAGCTTGGTAGGACTCTTATTATTCAAACAGTGCATTTTATAAACATTTAACAAAGAATTTAATCGGTGGATGGTGACTAGCAGTGGAATCCACGATGCACATTTCGTCCTGTTTAAGACTCGTCATCTGGATGTACTTGCATTCCTCAGTGAGTGATGATGTTCCCACCGAGGCTCGAACCGAGTGCCCATAGTTTCAAACGCCAAACCGTTATCCACTAGACCACTTGGGCCACGAGAGCCATCTATTGTTCAACGGGTCATATTAATTACTTAATTGAATGCATGCACATCCGGCTGACGAGTCCCAGATACGATGAAATGCGCATCCTGGATTCCACTGTTAGTCACTATCCACCAATTAAATTCTAATCATATGCCCAGACATCGTCGAGGCATCTGCACAAGAAGCCGACATGTCAACCTGAGACTGAGCACTTCAGTCCAATCATTCGACGGGAAATTCAGAAATTCAATTTAACAAAGAGTTAGGAAGAAAACATAACAAAACTTTTAATAACATTACCCTGTGTCTTTGAAGTAGTTCAGGGTTAGATTGGAAGTAGCCGGCATAATATCAACATAACCAGTCATCAATTCACCCTGAAAATTAAAGCAATACAAAAGCAAGTTCAAATTGATTATCTCGAAAAATTGTCAATTCTTATCAATCTTGCTTTCGAAAATCAAAAAGCAGAGAAACAATTAGTAGAAAAGAGAAAAACAGACACACACAACTTACTACTGCTAATCTACGCTCAAAATGCATTGCTTGAGTGCCCCTAGTACCATCTGATTCCAGGTCGACTGAGGTAAGTTTATTACATCTGAAGTGATTTCTTGCAAATTGCTAATATAAAAATAAAAAACAGACAAAAAACACAAAAATACTGTTCAACTTTGAAGGAGTTTAAAATTTTACTTTTTTTCAATTTATGATGTTGTCTAAATTGAGTATAGGTGCGTTGGTGGCACAGCGGTAGAATGCTCACAAACCACGCATGTGGTTCGGGGTTCGATCCTTGGCCGATGCACTTCTTTACCTCGCTAAGCCAGTAATAAGCTGGTGAAGACGGGAGGTCGGGCATGAGGCTAGCAACCGCACACCGTAAAAATAAACACCATTGATACCAAAACCTTAAGCCTCTAGCTTGAAGCCCTATGTTCCTTTGGGAGCTTAAAGAAATAAAAAAAATATTGAGTATAAGTGAGTTAATTTTCAGCACGGTCTGTGAATTCAATTCGCTCATCATTAGATTTGACACTGATTTTTATTGATAGTGAACTGGGAACTTACACTGAATTTCATGTATGCAGACACTTTAAGTCTCTTGAATTTTACTGTTATTCAGTAATCATGGTGGTCACAGGCAGTAGGTTTAGGAGGTGCACAGAGATTATCAGCAGAAAACTTAACACTATTAAGTAACTCTTCAGATAATTCAATTTCAAATTTTCTTATAAAGGAGAATAGGCTTTATGTAGGAAAATCAGAGATTACAAAAGAAATAAAGAGGCGTGTTGTTACTGTTCACATTTGGGTTAGTGTACAATGAGACCTATACTGTCACGTTCACTGTCAAGACTATATAGCTTACAGTCTTCGGTAATCTCTTAGGCTGTAGACCAGCTTGTACTTTTCAAGCCACCAGTCTTCATAGTTTCGCTTTGCAGCTTAATCTAACTATCCCATGCAGACCGAAAGTTAACTATCTGGACAACATCTTCAATACTCCTTTACAATGGTAGCACAAGTGACCGCTATAGGTTAACTAGGTTATTCGACCACTACGGCCTGTAGCATGGATAATATATTGTATAAGAAAGCTAATGCAAAGGCGTAAACAACCAATACTAAGTTCAAAAACTGAAAACAAATTCCTCTAGTCCACCTCTTCCAGGTGTGTTTTCTAGTCGAACTTCTCGTGCGAAGCTAGTTACACTGGGCGCACGATCAGTCAAGTTCATTGTTGAATTTCTGAACACCTCCAATCTTAATTTAACAAAGGTTCGAATAAAGCTATATGTAGCTCCATACTAGCTAACCTCTTGAATAATAGACATCCAATTCACTCTAATAAAGCTTTTGAAGATATTTATCGTATTTCATCTAACCTTTGGTATGCTTTATGGGTATGACTTTTACATATAGTGGAGGCAATAGGAACTTTTCTGAATAAGCTAAACTTGTATGTTCAAAAGAAATTCATGTAGCCCTTTTCTTTGCCTTGGCTGTGGAATTCTTCTTTCTTTTCGAGGTCTGCGTTGTTTGTCGGTGCATAGCATTGTATAACTGACACCTTCCTTCCTTTGGAGTTGAATCTGGCAGTCATTATCCTGGGCGAGATCGCCTCCCACTGCATCAGGGCCTTCGTTACCGCTGGTGACATCATGATAGCCACGCCCTCGGTGTGCATGTAGTTATCCTCTGGGTGACCGGAGTAGATCACTGACTGACCCGTTGACAATTTGGTGAGTGGAACCCGAAAGGGAAGCGGCGAGTTGGTCATCAGTGCAAGGGTGACTTGGAGGAGGTCATGTTTTGAGGAGATGAAAACGTGTGGGCAGACTTGAAGCCAGGTGAAGACTCTAGCAGAGAACCGAACGCAATGGAGACGCACGGCTGAAGCTCTATGTTCCTCTAGGAATTAAAGGAAACAATAATAATAATAATGGACTAATGTAACTGTCTGATTGGTACAGCTTAATGTAAAAAGACAGTGAAGAGGAACTAATTGAAAAGTTAAATATTTCTCTGTTTAATTTGTTGTCTTTTCTAAATGTGTAAATGAGAATTCGCATAACACAAAACCATTAGTGATCTCAGGTTTTTCTGTAATAACAGCTTGCATAAAATCGCTGCTCTTTAATCATCTGACGTTATCATAGAAAAAAAACTTCGAAGAGTTCTGATTACTCCCAGCGTTTCTTGTAGCTTCTCAGTTCTCATGAATAAGCTAACATTACAATGACCATAATCTTTGGCTTAATTTTAACCGAATTCTTCTTCATACAGTTTTATTATATTTTGGATTAAATGTCGGGCATACAGGTCCAAGAAATTTTCATTTTAGATGGAGAAGCATTGGGAAACCAGGGAATACTGGAACGCCGTTTCGTTCTATTTTGGTGTTCTTCATCGGCAGGCGTACACACAAGCGTTCTAACCCAGACCTCCAGATCACAAGGTAAACTTGTAAACCATTCAACCAATTCAACCCGATCCAGTGGCCTGTGCATTCCAACCTCTGTCAGTGCGTAATTTTAGCGCGGTCACCATCCAATGTTACTGGAGAGTATCTATCCTCACTTCGGTCACCTACTGGTTACTGCCCCAAGATACGTACTGCTAGAAAGTCTCGAACTATTACGAAACAGCTGTCAAGTGCTCTCAAGCTCTGCAGTGGTTCTTTAATTGATGTCAAATCTACTAAGCATAGTTAGCAAAATGTTAAGATACTGCATCCAAATATAGGTAACTTCAGTCATGGCTTTTAGAAGACTCGATCCCATTTTTAATATGGACATCATTATAAAGCATGAATGATTAGGAGATTATTTGAAACCAAAGAGCACAGTGAACAGCAGCTAATTTGCTTTAATTCTACATTCTTGAATAGCGTCTGGGCCAAATACCCCTGTTAATGTTACATCTCGGATTGTGTAAGCTGACAAGACTCCATGGATGGATGGATAGTAAAGTAATTCTATTTTTTTAATCCCCCGCAGATATCAAAAACCTGCTGTTCAGTGGTCTTTGGCTTCATGTAGATTTCGTTGTTGTTGTTGTTGCTGCAAATTCAACAATGTTCATCTACGAATAATTTCATAGAAAAGAAGTTTTTAATCATCAATTCAACTTACGACAACGTTACGCAGAGTCAGACTGATCCTCTCATAATCTTTATTCTCTTTGGCTGAATGCCATTTTCGTGTAACTTTAATTATAGTATTACTGAAAAATCAAAAAAGAACAACAACAAACAAAGTACAGTTAATGTAAAATGCTCAAAAGTTCATTCACATATGATGTATTCTGTACGATTAATTAATTAGATTCAGCAGTACGCACCCTCTGGAGTTGGGACCCAGGACCTTCCAGTTACGAGGCAAGCTGGCTCGTATACTATTCAGCCACTGGGACCCGACCCGATCCATTGGCCAGCCTATGAATTCTAGCTTCTACCAATTCGTGATTTGGCGCAACCACCAACCAATGTCATTGGTGAGAAGTTCATCCTCTTACTTGACTACTGGTTGAACCTCACTGGTCACGACTTCTCATTAGAACTCCAGGAAACTCCATCCTGTAGCAAGTCACTCACCAGCGAGCACCAGAATAATTTTCAAGAGTTGCTTTGTAAGGATTATTTTTGTTTTCACGATTTGATCACAGATTGATATCACTTAGAGAACCATTGAAAACCAGCACTGGAGTACTGGACAGCTGTTTCATCCTAGTTTGGGAATCATCGGCAGTAAGCACCCACTAAAGTTCGAACCCAGGGCCTTCCGGTTACAAGGCAAGCTCATATACCATTCAGCCACTGCAGTCACTGGCTTACGTCTCAACTGGACAAAGTCATTGGAGAGTATCTTTCTTCATACTTGACTTGGCTCACCTCACTAATTACTACCTTCGATTAGAACTCTAGGAACTTCGTCACGTTGTCAGTTGCTAATGAGCATTAGATTAATTGGATAAATTGTCGGTATTTGCAGGGACTTGATTGATTTCCAGTAGCTAAGGTACAAAGTACGATATCTCAGAGACCACCTGTTATCTTACCGAAGGTGATGAATCGTTTGCTAACTAGCACGGAGTCAGTTAAGAATTTATTTTGTAACGATTAGACAGTTAGAATAAATTAGAGTTTAGTAGATGAAATATCATTGCTGTTCAAGCATAGCACAACAAGTGCGACTTAGATTCATAATGGAAATCATAAATCAAGCATTCCAAAAAGCAGTTGGATTAGTCCTATGTAGCCTGAACATTTTACTGATTGATTATATATCTTGAGGAAATGTCGGCTCTTTTGCTGACAAGTCAGCCTGAAGTAAAAAAACGCTTCCTGGAACGAAGAAAGTGAGACTTGAATGATAGGCATTAGTGAAATCTAGACTGCGTGCTTCGTCCTATTTGGGACTCGTCAGTTAAATACACTTAAATCCTCAGTATTTGAGGGTGCTTTGACTGCAACGTGGATAATAATGACTCACTGAAGATGCGGGTATGTCTAGATAATGACACTGAATACATAGCAACTCGCTTCCTCTATAAGACTTCCAGACACTGCCAAATAAGCAACATCTAGTCCTATGTGTCTTCAGTAGCAGTTGTCAAGGTCTCATAATATCGCAGTCTGAGTTCTACTTTCACCAAATTTATGAAGTTGTGGAATATGCTGCTATCACACAAGTGATATCACAATTTGAAAAGTAAATCTACGAAGGTTGACAATGATATTTCAACATGAAATCTTATAAGTACACTGAGTAATATTAGCATTTTTAATAAAAATGATTTAAAATGTTCATTTTTATATTGATGAAAACTTCAGCTTACTCTGCAGCCGGTAGACCGTTATTTACTGTTTCGTCTAAACTTGGTTCTCCAGTTCGTGGATCTCTTTGTGTCCTGGGAGTACCGTCATCGTAACGTAGATAAGGAAACATGTTATATGAAAACCCCTATATAATTAAAATAACAATTGTTAGTCATTAGAGAGACAGTATGAATACTTGATAATATAGGAGTTATTTTAAGGCACCTGGTAAACTGAATAGATTCTTCTCTTGAATTAAGAGTAAAATGACTACAAAAAATAACGTATCAAGTGTTGGTTTGTAGGGATTTGATTGGTTACAGGATTTTCATCATGGGCTGACATTAGTTAGAGAACCATTGGAAAACCTGGGAGTACTGGACAGTTGTTTCGTCCTAGTTTGGGACTCTTCAGCGGTGCGCACACGCCGGGATTCGAACCCAGGACCTTCTGGTTACAAGGCGAGCTCGTATACCATTAAGCCACTGGGACCCGATCCAATGGCCCATGAATTCTAACTTCTGATTAATTTGGTTATTCGTCAACCATGACACTAGAAGCGGTCAATGCGAGATGTTCCTATGCATTTACTGAATAAGTCAGATACCATATCATAAAACTGACTTGTTGTCGTCTGAATGCAGGGAACTGATCTTTACTGTTAACCCATCGGAAACTTGCTGGAGACACACAGAAGGTCGAAAAATGCCCTATAGACAGCAAAACGACGGCCATTTGTTGATAGATCTATATGATTCTATTCAACAACAACAATAATAACATGAAAGCTCAAAATTATTTCAATAGTATCGTTAGGCAAAGCTACAGAGAGTCAAGAGAAATTTCAAGTATACAACAAGTACTGTAGAAGGAAAACAGTTAACCCCAGCTCCGCTGTAAGAAGTATGTGAGAATTAAGGAGAAGATTCCCGATAACATAGGATCAAAGCTCTGTCGACAAGAATCACAGATCAACAATTCTTAGAGATAGTCCAAAGCTGGAATCATCTTGACTTGGCAGTCTGCCACCTGAGTCTATTGGTTTTCTACAATTCATTTCTTTTTCTAACCATTTTGGGATATGCTCTCCCACCCTCACATACAAAGCACGATTACTCCTCCCTATGTATGCGTGTCCATACAAAAACACACACGAAAATTGGTAAATAGTGTGGGATGTGACATAATTGCTCGTGCACTTTTGAGGTTTGCAGTGGAGCATACTTTTAACTTTTTCGATAATTACAAGCCCGGCTACATAACTGGTTCTACAGATGACCGAATTCGGCCTTTGTCTCAACATTCTACTGTTTATTTCCCCGTTATATGGTGATTTGATGAAGACATTTTTCTTAGGGTTGGTATAGTTTGTAGGTGTGAAGACTAATTGACTTCTGCACCTGTTTAAAAATTTTAAAGGATATCCATTTTCAACAAGAGTATCCATCAATATTTCATTTTCTTCCTCTATAACATCTGCCGTGCACGTACGTTGAATCCTCTTAAATAGACATTTGACCATGCTTCGCTTTTACTGTAATGGACGGAAACTGTGAAAATTAAGGTGTTGCCCTTTCCAAGTAGGCTTTCTGTAAATTGATCGTCTCGTCGAACCATCATCTTTTCGACTCAGAAAAGTATGTCTAAGAATGCAAGCTGGTTGCGACTTTCTTCCTCGCATGTAAGACTTATATGATTCTGTACAAATTTATAAAAGGGACTAATTGTTTTAAATCATAATAACAATACCCATTAAAGTCATAGCTATCAGTACTGTGCTCATTGTTATTTAGCTTTGAGATAGGCTTATACAGAAATTTCTAGTTTGAATTTGTGACTACTGGTCAAATTAAACAAATGGGAAGAAGAGTTAGCATTGTCTCAGTGATACGATTCAATGGTGATTCAATAGACTGTACAGTGGGTGAGCAAAAGTTATGAGCAATAGAACACCAAACTTCTAGTGATTTAATGATGGAAGGTTAGCGTACACTTCTGCAGACCCGGTGGTTTTCAGTTCAAACATTTTTTTTTGCTATGTCGCTGAAGTTGAAACAACTCTTGAAGACGCCTTACTACAAGTTCTTTCTGTAACTGACATTAGTAAGTAACTCCTCCCTGAAATATGTTGACTTGCTTTAAATATGATAATCGGAAGTGTATACTATACCGTGTTAACATATGTGAATCTGTCTGTCTCAGTTGATGAGTGTGTGTGACAGGAAATGAATTTTGAAATTTTCACTTACAAATACATGAGCCAATTCATGCAGCATTATATTCTTCAAATGATTTGGATTCGACGAAAGAAATCTCAATCCTCTGCATAAAACAATCACAGCGGCAAGTGGTCTAGAGATAAATAAACATAACACGAAAATTATAATTAAGGAAATGAAATAGACCAAAATATTGATAAAAAATTTCAATGAGTAATTAGAAATTTAAGAGAATATTAATTAGAGACTGATTTTTGGAAGATATTAAGAATAAAATCACTTTATAATTAGTGAAACTACTGTGAATTTATTACTGTTATTCATATTTGCTTGGGTCCCGAATAGAACACTCGGATTCAGCAGAACTTCACCACATTCACCCGTTCTCTACACTACCTTTCAGATGGCTACACAATTATCCACTAGCCAGCATCTCCCCCTCCTCCTCTTCCTCACACAATCTCTCTCATGTCACTCTCGTACCCACACTCACACAAACACAACTCGTCCTTTCCTCTTCGAGTTACAATCCACTGATAGCGTGGCGTGGCGTGTCACTAAACCGTCTTCTCAGACTCTGTCCAATCCACCTTCATTTTCGTCGATATACTTGTTGAACTGTAGGTTCTTGTTTGGCTCATTGACTAACACATTTCTTTGTTGATATTTGTCTCCACCTGACCATGTCATCTTCAGTATGGAGTCAGTGAAGGCGAATTGGCTGTTGATGACAGTCTTCGTCTGCTAGTTGGAAACAGCTTCTGGCTACACGCTGAGTCTGTGATCCATATCAAACAACTGACTGACTTAACACTGGTGTTGAAAATCTGAATTTCGGTGTATCTGGTGACTGGATGCAGACGATTTCCAAATTGATTTCAGAGTGATGGAGGTCCGACTTGCTATTCCAACTTCTGTATATTCGTGATATATGGCCACTGTGAACTAATTCCATCGGCCAGCATCCGCTTCACACGCAACAATCATCTACTGAGCTAGTTAGTTAGTTGGTTAGTTAATTGATTGATTCACCCAGTCACTTTTCCAATCACTTAATCAATAAGTGGGTGAACGAATGAGTGTCTGTGACTATTTTCCAGTTCGTCTTATACACACTAATTTGGCAGTGGTGACGTCTCTTATCTTTGGAGATTTCCTCCCAATATTCTTGTCAATAAATCTCGTTGGATATCTGTTTTGAATGAAGATTTACTCTGAAAAGTATAATTCTTCTTCATGAGCATTAGAAATACTAATTAGTCAGACGGACGCGAGCTGCTAGGCTGGACAATTCCCCCTGGAAACTATGAGGTAGTTAGTGCCGTGATAGCTAAACTCATCTGTTAGGGAGTTGATTTGGTAATCCGAAAGACACTGATTTAACTATGTATGGGCACCTCATTCATTCATTTACAAAGTATGAATATCCAGGGCAAATTTCGTACGAATATCTGTTATAAAGTATGAATTGTAGAGAAGTGTAAAGAAATGTAGTCCTGTATATACAACCTACTGATACAGATAGATGAAGCCATCCACTTTGTTCAGCAGTGATTACCAGACAGTTCAAAGTGATCCAGACATCAGAAGTTGGAATTCTACCTCGAATTCAATGTATTACCATTTCACTTGAGTAGCCAGGCAGAATTCACGTGCCTTGAACTAATTCAGTGCAATTAGCTAATCCACTGCAATCATTTATCTTATCAGCTACTTTCCAGAGAATTGAAACGGCTGTTCGGTGCTAGGATGGCTTTGATTTGCTTAGGAAGCAATACTAGGTTGACATGACTAGTTTCATTTTGGACATATGAGTAATCAGTACACACTGCACTGAGTTATTTTTGAAGAATTTAAAACTACAGCCCAGCAATTCTCCTGTTCCACTTCTTTTTAAGTGGTTCTCTTTTTGATAATCAAATATAGGTTGTAGCGATGGGCTAGTCACTTGTTAGTAACCGATGGCACGCGTTTCGACCTTGGTTCTGGCTGTATTGTATATATATATTGTATGTGTGCTTCATAATATGTCAGGAACTTGGTGCATAACCGAAAGGTGCTCCCAGTAGTGTCATGAAGAATTTTATTGACAGTTGCCTTCACTGGCTCCATATTGAAGATCACATGGTCAGGTAGAGACAAATATCAACAAAGAAATGTGTTGGTCAATGAGCCAAACAAGAACCTACAGTTCAACAAGTATATCGACGAAAATGAAGGTGGATTGGACAGAGTCTGAGAAGACGGTTGAGTGACACGGCACGCCATGGCACGCCACGTCATCAGTGGAGTGTAACCCGAAGAGGAAAGGACGGGTTGTGTGTGTTTGTGTGTGTGTGGGTACGATGGTAACATGAGAGAGATTGTGTGAGGAATAGGAGGAGGATGAGGATATGCGGGCTAATGGAGAATTGTGTAGCCATCTGAAGGGGAGTGTAGAGGGGAGGAGAATGTGGCGATGTTCTTCTGAATTCGAGTGTTCCACTCGGAACTCAAGGGACGTTTTCCTCTCAAATGCATTAATGGTACTAATGTAACATTTGAAAAACTGAACAGTGTATCTACATAATGACAATCATATTATGATCTTTTTGACAATTGCATTTCCACTCTTGTTTCAGTTGGTACCATGTGGACCTTTCCATGGCTGAACCATGGAAGTGGGGTCAGAATCTGGGTTGTGATTTTGTACTTCAAAGTTGTCACAGCTATATGCAGAAGCGCAAAATGAGGTAAGATTGATAAATACACTTCAACCCTTTTATTCCAGTTTTCTGCATCTTAACATTAGGTTGAATGAAAACCGTTTCTTGAAACGAATTAATAAAAAGACTGTTGCAGTGAAGAAAACTTTCTTTTCAACGAAGTGATCAACTACGCTGTACATCCGTATATTTATATTCCGTGTGTGAGAAAGTTCCAGAATTGTTTCCGGTCAGAGGTCAGACTAATTAGATTACTAAGTGTAATAAACAGAAGATAGGGTAGTGGCACTATTCTAGAAATATTTCAGGTCAACGGTCAAATTGAAAATTACACTGTGTAATAATCAAGAATATCGGGTAGAAATGACAGAGTAGGATTACAATTACTATAAAACTAGTTAGTTTATATAATTATGGGTTAAGGATGTACTATTCACGAAATGGAGAATGTGACAGTGTTCTGTTGAATCCGAGTGTTGCACTCGGAATTCAAGGGAATTAAAATTATTATGATAATGGATATATTTACATACAATATCATCAGATCAGTTTTATTCACCTGTCCGTATCTGGATCTTGGGTGTATGTATACGCCGCAGCCAGGCCAGTTTTACCACACATTAAATCATTTGCAGTCAGAAATAGAAGGAAATGTTGATTAGCGTTGTCTGGTATTTCGTTTTCGTAATTCATGACGTCCTCTTCAGAGGAAAGACAATCCTGGAAATGACAATGTAGATAAAAAGGAAGGTTAGTCCTACTGTTGAGTAAAATATTACTTTATAATATCTGTATATCGATTTATTTGCACATTGGATCGCCACAACTGTCGTAGTTGAGTCGACTGTTTCTTTTTTATTGATTCATCTTATCACTTAGTAATGCTATGGGTTCTTCATTCTTTAAGTTATCTGTGTGACCTGTAAAACTTTATTGGTTTTACACATTGAATTTTCTCGCACTTTGGATTTTCGAGAGAATATTTCTTCAGTGTACCTAAAGTAGGCTACTTTTCTTCTTGTATTTCTTAATATAGTCATGTATAAAAGTAAATATTACATGCTGTTCATCATAAAACGTAGTCAGGAGTATAAAGCGGTAGCATTTATTTTATATATTGGGAGTTATGTGAGTTCACACAATTTCGTGTACTACTTGTAAAGCGGTGTAAGTAGTATGTAGTATGACTTGTCCAAAATAGAAGTTTCAGTTTATATATCAATGTGAAAGCTATTGATTTCTCGCAATGTTGCAGAAAAAATGATGCTTACTAGGCTGATGGAGTTCATCTTATTCTACTACTACACTTCGATGATATTAGGTAGTTGGAGGCAATCGGCAGGAAGCTTTGCCTGACCTAGGCTTCGTGCTAGTTGCCAGTCATCAGTCAGCAAGGCGTATCTGCAACTCGTGTCCCTTCTGAGATTCGAACCAGCGTCACCCACAGCTGCAGTCACAGACGTTACCACTGAGCTATTCGGGGTCGCCTAATAGCTTAGCTCCTGCCGATTGCATTCAACTATCTAATATCATCCAATCAATGTGCACCGTGATGGCGAGCTACCTAGAATGGTGGCCACATTGCAAATACCTGGCTGATAGAATTCAGTCTGCACCAAAGAAAGCACTAGACACATCGCACTAGTTACTAGTGTCCAATCAAAATACCACTGTGTACTTCAGCTGATGACCACCTGTAACCTCAGTGATCTTTATGACTACGAGATTCTCTTCTTTCAAACTTGCTCCTTCATGTGGATTGAATTTTTTTTACAATTTTTGTATTGGTATAATTCAATGGTTAGTTACCGGTGAACACCGGTGAACGATCTAGTTTAATTCCTTTCTAGGATTTCCTCTTAATCCATTTTCGATTTTCACTGATAATTTATTTCACAAAGAAAAATTTATTTTTTGACAAGTTTTGGTCTGCAGAGATTTGATTAGTTCCAGGTTGGGTCGAAAGCTGACACACCATTAAGGGAACTGCTGGAAAACTGGGGGTTACTAAACGGATTTTTTATTCCTAGTTTTTGAACTCTTCATCAGTACATACGCATAGAGATCCGAACCCAGGACATTCCAATCACCAGGTGAGCTTCCACATGATTCAGTCGATGAGATCTGATCCAAAAATAACTGTTTTTTTATTAAACGAAGATTGTAAAGAGTTGTGACGAGAATCCAAGGCTTCGCGGTTGTCAAAATTTCTCTAGTCGACGTCGGTTCATGTCAAAATCTACATGGAATTGTAGCCGGTTTTTTTTTCATTACTTTGCACTTAATGAAACTGTGATGTTAGTAAATGTGGACAGTAGATAAAATGGTCGGTTTTTTTTTAAAAAGAAGGTAGCAATTTTCAGTACTAATAGTTAAGGTGGAATTTTATGAAATGGAATGGAATTTCATGTTACGTTTCATATTCCACTGTATGTTTGATATTAGAAACAAATTAGCAGAAATATCACACGGTATGAATAAAAAACTATTTTCATTTTGACTGACAGGAAGACTCAACAGAATTTACTAATTACAAATACTTATTGTATTTTATGGCATAGATAAGGAGAGATAATTAACGTTATACGTAGTTGGAATTCAGAAGACAAAATGAGTTTGTTTTATGAAACTCACAGATATGTGATTATTGTTTACGCGATGGTGTTGAGGGTACAATATATATTATCTTGCTTCATAAATAAAGTCATTCTTTGTTGGAGTTCTAGCTTGAATCAACATAGTTAAGGTAATAAGACAATATAAGGGTGCTTGACGTTAGGCTAGACGGAATCCTATGTGAACGAGACGAAGCCGTGAGTTGGAATTGTACAAAGTAATTTGCTTATTAGCTTTTGAAATCAGTAGGGAAACAGTAAGTAACTTTGTCAAGCAATAGTGAAGATGACGCCAGTGTTTACATTGCAAGCTTTGGTGAGAAATCTCAAAAGAAATTCATAGAACAAATGACAGTCAGAATGTCTGTTTGAATGAAGCAGTTTCAAGTCGCACTAAACGTATCCAAATCCTTTATTTGATGTTTTATCTGTTTTGTATGCTCAACCACTAGTTAATAGCTAAATATTTCTCATAAACCAACTTTCCCATATATTTTCTTGTATAAATTTAACTAAACCTGTCTTGATGTGCACATTAGTAATTGGTGAAAGAAGTTAAGCAATGTAGTGACAGACGGGGAGGGGGGGAGTATTAACAAGAATTATTGATCATGCGGATGCTGGAAAAAGTGACAGGTATACTACTATTTAACAGTGAAATTTAAGTAGCAATTAAAGGGAAGACAAATACAGGGCTGAATCGTCTGTAGCTATGAGGAATCAGTCTGGCAGTCAACAAATCCTCTGTTTTACTGTCAAACTTAAGTTTATTTAAGATGGCAAGACTTTGACGAGTATTCCAAGTTTGCCCATGGAGTGATTTAAGTTAGAGAATCATTGAAAGCCAACAGAGAGTACTGGACAGCTGTTTCGTTCTAGTTTGGTATTCATCAGCAGTGCACACACCCCACCAGTGTTCGAACTAAGGGCTTTGCGGTTAAAAGGGAAGCTCGTAGATCATTCAGGCATTGGGACTTGATCCAACGGCCAGTCAATGTATTCTAACTTCTACTAATTAGTAATTTTAGAGGGACCACCAGGCACTGTCATTGGGGTGGAGTGGGGAGTATTTGTCCTCATTCCAGATCAGGTGAATCCCACTGGTCACGAATTCTCACTAGAACTCCAGTCAGTAGCAAGTATCAGATTAGTTTTCAACACTATGACCATGAAGTAAGTTAGTAAGAAACATACTAGTACTGAAATAATTATATTTCAAATCATGATTGTAAATAACCCACTTCATGATGACTAATGATATAAACAAGAGGTGACAGGAATGACAGACAAGTTTTCTGTGCATGACAAAAATCACTAGATAAAGAGACAAGATGACACTGCAAATAATCACTGCTGAATAATATTAGAGTTGATTTAAGGTTAATCACTAACCTGTAAGTATCGCTCTGGAATTTCAATTCCATTATAATACGTTATACTATTACATCCTCCTTCGCAGTAGTGTTTGTGTGGAATCAATTCAGAACGAGTTCTATGTTGACAGGCACTGACCGAGTAAAGTAAATAAAGAAAACATTAAGAAGTTATGAATTTCTGTTAATACTCATAAGGATTTGTATACTAAAATAACCAAAACATTCATGTTCTTGGTATCAGGTGTTTCAAAAAACACCAATAAGCTTTTAAGTGTTTTTATAGGGTAGTGTACTCGTTTGTTGCACTTAAAAGACTTTGTATGCATTATTGTTCAGATGTCCAGTCAAATACACCGGGATTGATTTCTATATGATGGTTGTAAAAAATTGGTTGATGCTGACCACTTTTGTATTCTTGTCTGGAGGTGGACTGACTACATGCCTTTGAGGATTGGATAAATCCCATCACATATCGATTATTTTCATACAAATTATAGTCACGCTCGCACAGACACAATCAATTCTGATTAGCAGAAGTAGGACAGAGGTGTGTCTTCACTTCCAATAACAGAACACTGTGTAAACTCGGAAACCTCTGCACTGTTCCACAGGTTCTTCATAGTCTTTTTGGATGTTTCCAATAGGCCTCTCAGTGGCATCAATAAACCAAATATTTCAAGCAAGAGCGTGTCCAATCTCTGCCACTGCCATGACCAACAGTTTATCAGATTACTTTCTGGTTTATTTTCTACTTTTAATCCCGTTCAGGGAATTTAACGGCACTAATATCATCCACCTACAAACGTCAAGTCAGTTCTTCTATACGGATGAGAAACTTGGCGGGTAACCAAGAATATTTCCAACAGCCTGTTGCACACCTTTTTCAACAACTGTCTTCGCTAGCTCTATACTGAACATCAGATGGCCGGAAAGAATCACCAACAAGAAACTATGGGAACAAACAAAACAGGAACCAATCGCTCGCCAAATATGCAGGAGAAAGTGGAGATGGATTGAACACTCGCTGAGGAGGCCGCTGGGTGACATCGCGCGTCAGGCCATCGCTCGAGTGGAACCCGAAAGGGAAGCGGCGAGTGGGACGTCCAAGGGTGACATGAAGGAGATCGTGTGAAGAGGAGCTGAAACAGTATGTACTAACATGGATGCAAGTGAAAAGTACAGCAGAAGACAGAAGCAAGTGGAGACTTGCAGTTGAAGCCCTATGTTCCACTAGGAACCCAAGGGAACAATAATAAAATTAATATCATTAACCTGAGCTACGAATTTCTAATACGTATATATATTTGTTTTACATAACTTTAATATGTCTACTGTATTTCGTAGTCTAATCGAAAATATTCCTTGAATTTTGTCATTCCCGCTTTTTCCTCCATGTGCAGGAGACGTGTTTCTTCCCTGAAGATGCCTTTTTGTTGTTTTCGTATGAACAAAAAGGGCTTCAGTTTCAGGTGAGAAATATTCAAATGAAGTTGTGTCATAATTTTGCGACAAATTAAATCAAGCCAAATGAACAGATGAGTGCCCAAGAAGATAAAAACAAACACCTATGAAATGACTGTCATCTTAAAGACAAGACGAATTATAAGTATGCAATTCACTTGTCTTGACGTCAAGCACCATGTACATTAGGCAACTTATTACAATGAACTCAGGAAATGCTATTTTGTTTGCATTATAGATAACTACACTCATGGAAGAATAAACATCGGTGGTCAGCTGTTTCTGTCCAACTGGTAGATCTACTATTTACCATTTATTCGAAGGTGAAAATGCTATATGATATATTCAGTGCTGCGCGCATATGTTTTCAATGAATATTATACAACATTTTAAAGCTTACCGCTCCAGTTTTATGGGTCGTTTGGGCGGCACTTTTGGTCGCATAATTTTTGACCAGAACTCTATAGATTTTCTGATCATTTTCTAAATTTAAAACAAGATCGAATTATTACTGATTCATATATATATATATATATATATATAGTTATTGGTTGAAACAAGGCCAGAATTACAGTGTTTATCTGTGTAGTTGTATTCTCTGAGCTGGATGCTTAGATCGCAAAACCTTCATTGTCTATCTACACAACATCTTCGTCACTAAATTCGGTATGAATATGTTGCCTGAGAAGGCAGTGAAAGCTTCTCAATTAAACCGTTACACATCTTCTCTATCACTACTACAGTGGTTCTGAAAGCATTAGTTCCATACATAATGTCATGCTGTCTCTTATATGATGGCGTGGAAGACATTTTCTGCCTTCTTTTGTTTGTTCAACTTTCGAAACAGATCTCACCTGTTACTGAAGTTAGTGTTCGATGAATCATCAAACCTTATGATGATACGTCGTCAACAATTAAATATCAAGGCCTGCAGATCAATAAAAATATCCTTAATTAATTCAGTGTCTCTTATTCGTTCATACATGCTATTATCATATTATATTATTATTGTTGTTCTTGTCTTGGACGCTCTGAGTGGAACATAGGACGTTAATAGTAGTACATCTCCACTTTGACTTATTGTCTGCGGCCTTCTTTTTATCTGGTCACATGATTGCGAATAAGCTCTCGTCTCCTCATCATACTGTCTCCTCCTCCATGTCACGCTTGGACCTGATTTCCCAATCACATAATCTCCTCCATGTTAACCTCAGCCCTTCGTTCAACTTGTTGCTTTCCAATCACTTTCCAAATGACAGTCAACATGGTGTGAGATTTTAGTGGGAGGAAACGTTGGCGTATTTCCCATGCATCTTCATTTGCTCCTGCATATTTGTTGATGAATCGGTTTTTGGTTATTTCTCTGCAGGACTGGCCTTCCTTATTGCTTATCCTTTCTGGTTGCCTGTCTCATCTTCAGAATAGAGTTAAGGCAACTATCAGAAATTGTTTTCATGACACACGTATCAAATGTTTGCAGTATATAGATGCACTGACTTGACATTAGTGTTGAAAATCTGAATTTTGTTCCGTTTGTTGATCACTGAGTGGTGTAAATGAATACACTTAATTTCGCTCAATCAATACCTGCCTCGTTTATCCTAATGTTCCTGGCTGGCTTAGAAATCTTCATCTCTGTCTCCTGTAGTTGAAGTGATGATGCACAGCCAGGTAGCAGAAACAGACAAGTTATTTTGCATTGTTGTTATTAATCGGTTGAGTATCACTTCCGTCTTCTTTATGTTCACTTGAATATCTTGTCTTCACTGTCACTTCTAGAACCTTTTTGGTTTTCGCTTGTAAATCTCCGAGTTTGTGAGATGTGTAACACGAACCGTTGGCAGAATTCAGACCCTCCAACGTTTATTTTGTTAGTCCAACTCATGCCTGTCAATTTACTCCACTGTGTCACAATCAGAAATGTCATCGGTGATAGCAGGCATTCTAATCTTACTCCTGTCCTTACTCCAAATGATTCGCTGAGCTTTCTTCTGTGAATTACTAGAGAATTCAGTATCAACACATAAGTGTTGGATAAGGTTTGTAGATGTCTGAGTGGTTCGTAGTGGATATTAAAGTTTGGAATACAGGTCACAATGGTGTTGCAGTCTGTTGACTGAAATGCAATGCTCAAATACTGAACTAGTGTGATTCAGACAGGAAACCTCAGTCATACATCAGTGACTTAGCATTCTGTGAGTGCTTTTGGAAATTAACTGCATTGATTATTACAAAAGTTAAGTAACAGCATATGTCCGGTAACATCAGAAAGTGATTGAATTGAAAGTTCTCTTTGATCTACAGCATGAGGGTGACAGAATTCATTTTGGTGAAGATGTCAGCAAATCTGACATTCTTTTGGACACTCAGAGCAAAAACATCAGTATATTTGTCAAGCAGTATTAGATGTAAAATAATATTTATATATTACCAATCTGTGTCTAATTCTACTTTGAGTGTAGGAAATGAACTGATTACATGTGTAAGTCACCCCACCTACTTAGGAGAGCTGGGCAGACATTTAGCTGAATAGTGTAGTATTATGTTGTCCACTAAGGGACATGTATGCTCTGCAGAAGTCTTTGATATGCAGTTGTGAAACATAGCCACTATAAGTAGAAGTTCTAAAGAGGTTTGAGATCTTCTATCATGGGCGAATTCATTCACTCGCTTATACTAAATGAAGCAGTAAGTAGGTTAAGCAATTATGAAGATAAGCGTAGAGTACTCATAAAAGAATGAAAGTTAGTCGATGAGGCTATAATTTTCAACATATTCAACAACAGTTTTCTTCAACAAGCAGCGTTTTCCAAAGTAAGGCTGTCACTGAAATGAACGAACAACAGAATCAGTCCACCTGGGGGTTTTTAGACTAACCATCTGGTTTCCTCTAGTTGTTATAATGGTCTCGCTAAATGTACGAATTGGTAGGAGTTGGAATTTATTAAGTAAATGATTGAATGGTTTATGTCATTACCTTGTAACCTGAAGGTACCGGGTTCGAACCCTAGTGGCAATTTCATACTGATGCAACTGTTCAATACTCCTAGCTAGTTTACCAATGATTCTCTAACTAATATCAACCCATGATAAAACTTGAGATATTTACTGGTTATTTGATAGGTTTTATGAAATCTACGTTAAATTATAAATATTATTGTACAGCTCTTGAAAATGACTAATCGTGAAGAAAATTCTTCTCCACTGGTTCTGAGTATATTTTAGGAGGAGATCATGGGAGTAGGAAATCAACGCCTGTGTACAATCGTTAGGCAAGCTGGAAGTGAGTATAGACAATAAAGCAGAATGAAAATGTGCCATTGGGGACCTATGGTACGCTTGAAACACAATCAATGATTAGCATTAATAATAATATATGTCTGTTGGAGTCAATTAAATATTTATAAAAAGAAATAAGTTTTGAATGTGCTCATAATTCTGAGTTTTATGCCATTGCTTGATGATTACCGGCCATGAATGCAAGTCGAACCAGAAATAAAAAGAAAGAAGAAACAACTCAATGGTGTCAGTCTCTTACTCCAGAAATTGACATAATTTAATCATGGCATATCAATGGAAACAAAACAAAAATATATTTAACTGATATAAGCATAAAACTTGGGCATTGTGGTGGTAGAGTATAACTCTATTATGGATAAGATTTTATTTTGATAAGTCACACAGTGCTGTTTTACAGTAATACTTACTGATGACAACGTTTCGAGCACAAACTATTGCCACTCATAATCATATCAAGTCACTCACTTACACAACCTTTTACTTCATGTATATACATGAGTGAAATTGGTGAGTAGACATTTAAATAAAAACCAATATGGGATAATGTACATTCAGAAATAATAATATGAGTGTTATTGATCAACTACTTTAAAATGGGAAATAAGACGAGTGTTTTTATAGTCATAATAAGTAACTTGTTAGAATGCTGTGAAGTGCTTGAATTGAAATAGAATTTTAAGACTATGTATTATCCTCCTCTGATTTGACTGACTGTTGGTAATAATATCTTCCATATCTCTGGTATTTGCATTGAGTCATTTCTGTTGCATGTGTTTGGTGTAGACTCAATGAACCAGGCAGGATTCAGTAATCAATCTCTCTCTCCATCTCCACCTACATGGAGTGTAATTGCTGAGCTTTTTTCTAAATTACTTATCTTCTCGGGGTCAACCATTCTTACCTTAGCTAAATTCTTATATTCCGACAATCTGATTACCCCCGATCTACTAATTTGACCTATATAGTTGACCTCACAGTCATTGCAAGGTATTTTGTACACCATTCATGTTTATTGTTTTTAAAATTTCTTTTTCAAACTAACCTTGAATGTATCGAACAGTACCAATGTTTTCAACTCTTTACTAAGTACCACTTCAACAGGGAATTCTTTACCAAAGACAAAAGAGTCACGACGTCCTGATAACTTCAGACTCTCCATTATATCATTCTATCAATATTTATAATTAATCAAATAAAATGAAATGAAAAAAATTAGTGAAGACTTACGGAATCCTCCTTTATGTATAAAGATTGTATGAAATTGTCATTAAGGAGTATGCAGAATTGAAGCGTAATACTAATAATTAGAGCAACGGACATCTGCGGTAAATACATGATGATGATGAAATTTCTGATTTCTTTCTGATCATTAGCTTACTCAATAAAAACCTTTTCTTAAATACTTTTATACCGGTGAATGTGCAAGAAGAAGAAGACAAAGACACCTACACACCGACACACCTACACAACCACCCCCCTCAACACACACACACACACGCACACACAAGATATCAGTACATCAGTCATTAGATAGCATCACAGTAACTAACCTTCATGAGAACTTTTCAACACCTGAGCTATTTTATCAGTAGAAAAGGATGTGTACTATGACAGAGAAAATAACAAATCGTATTAGAGTTGTAATTATTCTTTCCAATTCCTATTGCATTGCTATTTTTAAACATCCAAAGGTTTTTAGGCTTTGTCTTCTGTCTATCTTAAGACACTTTCTGTAGACTTAATTGTTAGAGAGTTAACCAAAAACCGCTTAGATTAGTTTGTTTATTAAGATTATATTTTTGTTTATTTATTCTAATCATTCTAATTATTCTGATGGAATGTTGAACTGCTGTTCAATTTCCACGTGACCATCAGATGTCACAATGAGTACACTAAACTGTTGCTCAATCAAAGTTTTTTAAAGTAGGATCTAAATTTTATTGTGTTAAAAAAAGATTATTGTATTGTCAAGTGTTGATTTTTTCCACTTTCAGGTGGGACCATTAAACGACATGAGTTAGAGAATCACAGAGAAAAAACACCGAGTACATGACAATCATCTCGTCTTAGTTTGAGATACTTCTGCAGTGAGCATCCAAAACCGTCCATGGGATAGAATCCACAGCCGTTGAGGAGTTATGTGGGGAATACCAGTGATGATGATGATTCAGTGACCTATGAATTCTAACTTCAGCCAATTTTCTCTCTGTGTAGCTCCACTGCCGACCAGTGTTGTCGGTGAGTGTTTATTTATTTATTTTTTTGCTTCCAATATCTGATTTAATGCATCTCAGCGGTCAAGATTTCTCATTTGAACTCCAGGAATTCCATCTTCTATTCAGTCAGTGGTGAGGACTGGACACATCTTCAAGTGTTGGTTAGCAGGAATGTTTTATTTTGGTCAATTTCTTCTACCTTATTTTGAATAATATTGTTTTTGGTAAAGTTCTGCTCCACTTCACTATGTTTCCTTTACGACTTCTAGGCAGCACTTGAACCATTTTATATCTTTTTACGCTACTTCCTTCTTGTAGTTTACCCTCTTCAATCCTACCTCCTAATCAGTCATTTCAAATAATTATTATCACTACAGTTCCGAAGAAACCAATGTGCATAAAATTGCAGTTCCTCGGAGACAGCATCAGCGAAATCATAACACAGCACCTGAAGAATGCAGTTAAAAGAGTTTAATATGCAGCAGAGGTACATTGTCTCTTCACAACCACCCCTATTCTATGTTCGAGAAATAAGGATAAACTACCTAAATTTGCCTCTTCCATGTGTATCTACCAGTTTGACTGCAGCTGCGGAGCCAGCTACATTGGGCGTACAATTAGGCAGGTTCATCGTCGTATTTCCGAACACCATCCAGCATGGTTAAGCAAGGGACAAACAAGATCTATTCGTAGTTCTATTTTAGCACACCTTCTTGATACTGAGCATAAGGTTGATGTGAATATTGCATTTAAAATTATTTATCGCATTCCGACTAATCTTAATTTTGCTCTACGAGTTTGTCTTCTACAGACAGCTGAAGCAATCGGAATCCACCTTAAGAAGCCAAGCCTATGTGTTCAGAATAAATTTGTACAGCCACTTTCCTTAACTTGGCCATCGTTACATGAATGTATAAATCGGACTACTTCGCTCCCCTCCCCCTAAACATTTAAAAACTATAAAAATTAAAATTGTTCAAATTATTTTATTTCATTTTTATTTATTTTGCCCACTTCATCTTTAATTACGTGTTATCCTTGTAAAATTAATTTATTCTAACCATTTCTACCTTTTAAATGTGTATTCATTTTCTGCGTTAATTATCAACCCATTGACATTTTGACACTGTTTAACTTTTGTTAAAAACATATCGCCACTTGTTTGGTAAACTGTTGTGTATTGTAACAAAAATGCTATATATATTGGAGTAGAGTCAGAGATGAGGATCTAACTGAAAAGTAAATATTTCTTCGCTCAATCTTTCTGATTTCAAATTGATGAAGGTTCAGCTTGACATTGTAATCCATGCCACTGCCTGTAGCTGAAACGATACTTTTAGATAAGGAAGGTAGGTGTGACATTAATAGCTAGTGGTAAGTGGATTTCATTATCATTGTTAATTGGTTATCTTCATCACTTCAGTTCTCTCTGTGTTCACTTACAGCTATATCTTCACTGCAAGCCTCTTCTGCAAAATTGTCGGTTTTCACCTGTAGATCTTTGAGTGTGTCTGATATAAGACGTAAACCACCATTGAAGTCGATATCTTCTACAGTCTTCTCACCGATCCAATACATTCCCAACTTTTAGCTCCCCACAGTCTGGTGGATAGTTTAGTCCACCACATTTAGGATTGTCGTGGGTGATAGTAATCCTGGGGTCATGTCCTCACTTCAAAGGCTTCGCTGGGATTTCCGCTGGAAGGCATTTCACACGTGGCATTCTCAGGTAGCTGTTGACTGACACTGACAAATATTCACGCACTGCTCTCCATAGAGTTGGAGTAGTTTATAAATTACTTTTCTGTCAGCTACATTGAAGGTCTTCTCGAAGTCGGCTGAGTTGACGTAGACGTTTGACTATCATTCTATGCTTTGTTTAATGGGGATACGTGAAGTGGTAAATTGATCAGCACAGCAGTGCCTTTCCTGAATCCAACTTGTTCCGGTGGAGAGTGGAGTCCTGTATCCAGTGCATTTTTTATTCTCTCCAAGATAATGCCACTTAGTATTTTACTTGGCGTAGATAAGAGAATAATTCCACGCCAGTTCTTGCAGAGGCGAGCGTAAGTTTCCCTTCCTTGTTAGCTTGCCAAGATAGCCAGCATTTCTTCTAATCATTAGGTACCTTTCCTTACTCCTAAGCTGTCTCCAATAATGGCATCATCATATCTGTTGCCATCTTATGTGTGTGTAAGTAAAATTGAGATCAAGATTAAGAAATCACTAGTACTACTACTAATGGTAATAATACTAATAATCACTTTTCTCTGAATAATAAATTTTACACAAAATACAATTTTTACTATGGTATATAATACGGTAATTTATCTCCTTCTACGAATGCATAAGTGAATGAATTATAAGAAAGTAAAAAAAATTAATTTAATACAAGAAGAATGACTGTCAATGTAATGCCGGTAAAAATTTGCTGTTTATTCACCGATTCCCCTGATATCAGGTTTATAAGCTCTTCTCTGAAATTTATCTCTGCACAAAAAACAACTGCGCTTATTGGTGAGCTTCTAAATTTAACTGTACGAGTATAAATTCTTCGCGAACCTTTTCTGCTTTTATTCCTGGAGAGATACAAGGAGAAAGTTGCAAATAAACAGGCTGTTAAGTATGCGACAAGATGGCTTCAGCCAATCTAATACAAGTGACTGTTAGTAGCCACTTCAGTGAGTCAGGTCAAAAGCACACAGCCAACCCTTCTTACAGCCTTCAGAGTCTTACATAATATAAACTGGTCTTTCTTTTTGAGCAGCTCAGGGAAGAATAAGTGAGTGGGGGAGGAATAAAGAAGAATGGGTAGAATATATATATATATATATATATATATGAAATGATAAATTCTAAGAGAGAAGGTTGAGTTATACCGGAAAGTCTCAAATTCCTTATGTCGTCGTTAGTCAAACGAAAGATTTGCTGGAAATCAACAAGATCTGAGATGATTAACAAAGACTGGAAGAGAAAATGATGCGAAAGCAGATAACATTTAACTTATTTCCTAGCACAGTGCCGTCAATATCTCAAGAATCATACGAATAAATTTCTCCACACGAATCTTGAAATTACAAATAGCATTCTGACATTTAGAGCGGTTCATTTCGAGACTATTGATGAAATGAACCTTGTAGAACTCTGAAATATCCATTTTATATTCAGCTGAAACAATTCCACTCATAACTGTGACTGAAATTTTGATTTCTAGTTATCAAGAAAATCCAGTTATGTGTCTGAAAACTCTGGAACTTCATGATGAACAAAGTGAAGCGTATAATTTCAAGGTTTCCAATGCTAGTAAGCATGACATCTAAGTTTGAAGGCAACAGCAAAGCCACTGACTTAAACTTACACTGTTGACTTCATCTTTTTCAAATCTTTCAACGTCATTTTATGAGTTAATTAGGCTGAGGAGAATTCCGATATCGTTGCAGTCAAAGTTATTATTGAAATCTTGCTGATAATGAATTAATTTCAACTACTGGATTTCTTTCATGAACAAACATCAAATAGTAGGATGATTGTCAAACCAGCTGAGATTATTGGACAGCAAATGCATCGAAAATTTTAGACAAATTCAGCAATGTCTGCCCACAACAACAAAAGTGATAAGACTTGAGATATACTAGTGAGGACACGCGGCTCCATGAATAATCAGCCACCAAAGATGGATGCCACTCATATATTCAGATCAATAACAAAATATCAGTCGAAACAATTCCCCACACTCCACTGACTTCCAGTATTCTCTCTAAATGACGTCGGTTTCTCATCGAAAATTAACAATCTAACAGTTATCATACAAAATCAAAATCACTCAGTACTAACGTCTCACACTGAATCGGTGAGTAACCAGCGGTTTCAGAATCCACTAAGACGATGCAGACACATCCCACTGACAACTGTCGATAAGCATGCGAACAAGATTCACGTCTTTCTACCGACTGCCTGCAACCACCAAACATCAACTCAACACGACCGGTTATCGACTGACCTATGCAATAAATGCCATCAGGTATATAAGAAGAAATTTGCCTTCTGATATTCTTAAGTTGAGCAAGCCAAAAAAAACAATTACCACGCATCTGTTCACTAGAAGAAATCGGCTCATTTAGTGCAACCAAAACCGTGGGAATTCACAATGTGACAACATAATGCATAATAGT